CGTCCTTTCTCTCCCGCACGCTGACATCACCATCCGGGGACTCCGGGCCCTTCCCCAAAGTTAACCCTTTCCGCGGGGTGGGGGGGAGCGGGGCAGGGGGCGGGCCTCAGAGCGCGCGGGAGGGAGGGGCGGAGGATGGAGGCAGGGATGCAGGCGCGGAGGATGGAGGGATGCAGGCAGGGAGGACGGAGGAAGGATGCAGACGACAACCACCCGGGAGGCTCCCTCCCGGGGCAGAGATGGAGACTGGCAGGGGGGAGGGGAGAGAGGGAGACAGATGGGCGAGGACCAGAGAAGTCAGAGACCTCGACAGAGGGGCCCTGAGAGAGACGCAGAGCTGGACAGAGACAGAAGAGGTAGAAGGAGGAGCACAGGGAAAAACAGGGAAAGGGATGAAGGCGTGAGCGAAAAAGAGACCAGCCAGCAGGTGGAGGGCCCTGGAACAAGCAGAGATGAGCAGGGCTGAGAGGAAGAAGGAAAGAAAGAAGGAAGAGAAGTGGGAATCTGGAGAGGTGGAAAGCGATACTGGGCAGAGAAACACGAGGAGAGATGCGGCCACAACTTCAGAAAAGAAGGGAGAGACAGAGAGAAATGAGGAGAGAGCTGGGGAGAGGGACCCTAAGAGACGTAGAGACGGAAAGAGACAAGAAGAAGCAAGGGAGATGGGGAGAGATTTGTCTAAAAGCAGAGAAACGTGTGTGTGTGTGTGTGTGTGTGTGTGTACCAATGCAAGAATTTTTCTTTTACTTTTCAAAGAGCGAACTTGAGGGTGAGGGGTGGGCAGGGAGAAAAATGCAATGAATTAATGGAAATCCAAAATCTCTGTAAATTTTCATTAAAACTAATAATAATTTTTTAAAAAGGTGCATGGACACACTTAGTCCAAAGGGTCAGTGTACCTCAGCATCAACAAAGGAACTTCTTGGTTCTTTTGGCAGACGATGGAATAGTCAATACTCTTTTCTCTTTTTTTTTTTCTGGGTTTTGTAAAATTTATTTTAATGAAAGTTTACAGAGACTTTGGATTTTCATTCATTCATTGTTGCACTTTTCTCCCTGCCCAAACTTTTCCCCCACCAGTTCGCTTTTCTCTTTGAAAAGTAAAAGAAAAATTCTTTCATTGTTATACAATCCCTTCCCCCAAGTCTGCTCCACTATACAGCCTTCATTCTGGACTCCTGTCATGATGATAATATCTAATCATATATCCCTTTTAAACAGTTCTCTCCTTCATCTGTTTCAATGCAGTACACATAATCTATCCCATCTTTCTCAGTCTCACCCCAAACCCAATGTCAGTTCCACTTTACAACAGTGACACTATGCAGTATTTGTCCTTTTGTGACTGAGATATTTCACTCAGCTTAATGTCCTCCAGGGCCATTCATTTTGTATAATATTTCATGAGTTCCTTGTTTTTTCAATGCATGTTCCATGTTTTTCAGTTCCATTGTGTGAATATACCAGAGCTTGTCTATCCATTCGTTTGTTGATGGGCACATAGGTTGTTTCCAACTCCTTGCTATTGTGAGCAAAGCTGCGATAAACATGGGTGTGCATGTATCTGCTTAGATGGCGGTTATGGTTTCTTTGGGATATATTACCCAGTAGTGGAATTGCTGGATCAAATAGTATTTCTATTTGCAACATTTTGAGAAAGTGCCATACCACCTTCCACAGTGGTTGCACCATTTTACACTCCCACCAACAGTGAATAAGAGTTCCAGTTTCTCCACAACCTCGCCAGCATCTGTTGCTTTCTGTTCTGTTAAATTTTCCTATTCTGACTGGGGTGAGATGATATCTCACAGTTGTTAGAGGATAGTCAGTACTCTTTTCTAACATGACGACTCAAAGGGATTGATTCTTCTGTCATCCTCATTCACCGCCCAAATTTCAGATGCACAGCAAGTAATTTGAAAGACCATGTCCTCAATCAAGCGTGCCTTATATATGTTGATACCATTGCTAGTTAGCACTTTGGAGAGGTCCCTGATAGCAGTTTGGGTTTTTTGGGTTTTTTTTCCAATGAATTACATATTTTCTTTTCTTGACTGCTGGTACCAAGGGTCTTGATTGTGGATCCGAGTAAGATGAAATAATCATTGACAATTTCAGTCTTTTCTCCATCTATCATAATGTTACTTATTAGCCTAGTGGGAAGGATTTTTGTCTTCTTCTTTTTTATTTATTTTTTTTTGTCTTCTTCTTTTTTTAATTTTTAAAAATTATTTTCTGAGGGGAGCTCTGGTGGCCTAGTGGCAAGAAGCTGCACTGCAATCCCAGAGGTACACGGTTCGAATCCACCAGATGCTCTGCCGGAGAAGGAGGAGCAATATCCTGTACCAATCAGATCTGATTTGACAGTACACGCACACAAAATAATAACAAAAAAAACTTCAAAAAATTATTTTCTGTATGTGTACCATCAAATCGGATCTGACTGGTACAGGAGGAGACTGTCCCTCTGTCTCCAGCAGAACATCTGGTGGATTTGAACCACGTACCTCTGGGATAGCAGTGCAGCTTCTTGCCACCAGAGCTCCCTGATTTTTGTCTTCTTGATGTTGAGATGAGAACCGTACTGAAGGCTGTAGTCTTTGATCTTCTGCAGCTAGTGCTTCAAGTTTTCCTCATTTTCTGAAAGCAGAGTTGTGTCATCTGTGTAACGCAGGTTCCTGATGAGTCTTGCTCTAGTCCTGATGCCACGTTCTTCTTCATAAAGTCCCCCTTCTCTAATGGTTTGTTCAATGTACAGACTGAATAACTATGAAGAAAGGACTTGTACTAATATCATAGTTTCTTTGTTTTTTTTCTTAATTCACCTAAAGTTTCATCAGTCACGTTCATGAAATATTCAAAACATTTGAGTTGATGTAGGGTAGAAGAAACTTAATTTTTGTTGCAAATAATACAGTATTTGGTGTTCCTGTTATTCACAAGCTATCCTGCAGAAAGAACAATTGCATTAAATCTTGTTCCGTCTGGGTCATATTCCATAAACAGCTTGCAAACGTCTATGGCAGCCTCTAACAAAGTTTTTTCATTAGTTTTCCCATGGCTAATTGGAAATGGTCTCCGTCTGTCCAGTTCACAGAGATGCCCATCTGCATGAACTAATGCAGTAAAAGGAAGATCTACTTCTCATTTGTACTTGGCGCCTCGGCCTGACCTTCCTGAGCACAGGTCTCGTGGGTAACTCGAATAGCAATCATAGTTCTCCAAGTATCTGGCTCTTTTTTCTGGGCTCATTGACAATGACTGCTCCAGGTATGTTTAAAAGGTTGACCAAGGGTGACCGTCCGTGGCTGCCGTGTGCAGTCCCTCCAGCTCTGATAGCTGCGGCCCTAATATCATAGTTTTAAATCTAATCCACATAAAGATGTGTGCGCATCCCCCCAACCCCTCCACATAGTCATGTGGGAAGTCATACATCCCCCTCCAAGATGTACATGTTAATCGCCTAAGTCAATCAATATGTTGCCTTACACCGTATCTTACGTACCCAGTTGTTGTGTGCCACCGAGTTGCTTGCGATTCATAGTGACCCTTTGTACAATAGCCCTTAAACCTTCTCTATCCTGTGCCAACTTTACTGTCTCTGACACACCTACCCTCATTACCCCAGTCACTGAATCAATCCACTTCATCAATGGTCACCCTCACTTTCTCTGTCCCTCCACCCTCCCAAGCATGATGTCCCTTTTCAAGGACTGGTCCCTCCTTGCAACGTCTCCAAAGATGAAGCTTCAGAAAACCTTGACTCCAAGGAGAAGCTTGGTTTCACCCTCTCTAGGATGAACCTGTTTGTTCTCCTAGCAGTCCATGTTATGTTCAACACTCTTCTCCAGCACCGCAGCTCAAAGGCATCAATTCTCCTTCTATCCTCCTT